CAAGAGGAGCAGCAGAAACTGGAGGTGCACTAAAAGCCCCTAAAGCTGTACCGTCAGCAGATGACAAGGGAAATTCATTACTGTCAGAGCGTCTTCCGATGCCCCGGCAGAGTCCTCTTCCTGAAAGATAGGGATGATAATTGCACCCACTTCCTGGTTTCAAAAATTTGTCTTTGAAAGCATGATTTCGGTGATTAGATTTAAGTTAATATGGTTCTGATGGGAGATCCAGTGTGTTGTCAAAAATAGGACCCCCAAACTCTGTGGGCTTGTTGTTTGTCATTGTAGTTAAAATGCTTTACTTTGTGTAAATTGCGAACTAACCATTGTATTCACGATAAAATACACATTTTTTTTTGTTTGTGTTTGTTCATTCGTTGTTTTTTTTTTTTTTTTCCCTGCTTTAGCATGTTCAGTCTTACTAATTAAAGCCTGTGAAGTCTTGAATTTTGTACAAAAGATTTTACTTGAAGGGCATGTTTGTTTGGTTGGGGATAATCCTTAATTGTTGAGATAATGACATCTTATATTACTTGATTACTATGTTTGGTTGTTAAATAATATAAGATTTCATTAATTTTTCAAAATCAATAGTAATTACTGTTGGTTATATATAAGGTAATCTGATTACTTCCATTTTTTTTAGGTATTTTAAGATTACTTGGTAATCTTATTTTTGTTATAATTTTATCTCTTATTACATAAAATTTTAGGATAATAATGTCCTTGTTATCTAAACCAATATTTTAAAAACCAAACCAGTTAATGACCTGGGTTTTGATCAACGGGTCATATCAGTGACGCCATCTTCTTTTATCCTCATCACTAAATCAATGTTTTTTGATGTGTCTAATTCTCCTTCTTTATCTCTAGGGGTGAATAGTTCCGGATACCCTATATTTTTTAGAGGAACCGAAATTAGAATCTCACAGTGAAGGTTCCAAAAAAAAGGAACTAGAACTAAAACGTGTCGGTTTCGGTTCTTAAATTCAAGGAACGGAAACCTGAAATGCAGGTTTTGGTTCCTTATCTGGGTACCCTATAAAAAATCAATTACCCCCTATTAGTTTAAAAATGACAAAAATACCTTAAAAGTTTACAAATACACCACAAACAAATTAAGAAAACCCACATTTAGTAGTTTTCAACTTTTGATTACTTATTCATTTGTGTCCAATGTGACTCATAAATCTTCTAATCTCTAGGTAACATTTGAATTCAATCAATTCATCACACTTTACATAAAATTTCTCAATCAAAACCAAAACATAAACAGGTTCCAAGTAGGGTACCCGCTTCAGGTTCTTTTCCCAGGTTTCGGTTCCGAAACCTATAGGAACCAGAACCGCACAATGTCAGTTTCAATAAAATGGAACCAAAACCTATCCACACAGTGTTGGTTCGGGATAGGTTCCGATTTCGATTCTGTATGGGGAACTTCCTGACACTCATGCCCGATCGTGAGACTGCCTCTTGAACGTCTGATGGCACGTTGCTTTGACTGGAGCTATGCAACAACGAGATCCTCCTTGATTACACCAAAACACACAAACACATTCACTTTTCTTTTTTGACAAAATCCTCATTTTCTTCTCTGTTATTAGTTGTGTGTTGCCACTATTATATGTAGCCCCACCATTCTCCACTACCATCGCACCGTAGCAGCAATGGCCTAGGGTTTCAACTCATCTCACACTCTCATTTGTTTTTTCTCCTCTTCTTCAAGTTGAATATTCTTTCTTCTTCGAGTGGCTTCGTTGATTAGTCTTATTTTTTTTCGTTGATTAGCCTCATGTCTTTAATTGAAAATTGTAAAAGGGATTTGAATTTTATAATTTAGGAATTTGAGTTAACTCGGTTTTGAGTTAACTCTTATTCTCGGTTTTCTACCCTGACCGACTAAGCTAAGCCTCCAGTTTTCGGTTTGACTGATTAAACCGGTTGGGCCAGGTCGGGTTTTAAAACCTTGATCTAAAAATTTACAATAAATTTATAAACAATTTTAGCCATATACTTAAGATTTTTAAGACAGAATTACCCTTGTATTTCAACCAAATTGCCCAAGACAATAGCCACCACCCCAGCCACCCAAGAGGATTGGCGACCACTGGCCGCCACCGACAGTCACTAGAACGGCTCACGGCTAGTCGGATCTGGTCAACCATGCGTTGATAAGGCCATTTTTGGCCAGATCTATGGTCGTGAAATGGCCACATCTTGTTGTTTCCAGCTTTGGATCACAGATCCATGGCCAGATGGCCGGAAACATCCTTAACGCCGCACAACTGGCCATATACAGTCCACCATGCATCGTTCGGGCGACTGCTAGTGGCGGCCAACGATGGTAGCTAGCGGCCGGTAGTCCTAAGAAGGTGGCTAGGGTGTTTTTGTTAAGTTTTAAACTTTTTTTGTTGCTGTGGTGTTTTTGTTAGTGTATGCCCTAGGAACCAATCGTGTCATCGGTTCCGAGGCATTATGTTTTGTATATATATGTGAATGTATATAGTTTGTATATACATTTTATCTTATCAATAAAAGAAAGTGTTCTTATTTCACATGTGGTTTATTACTTCATTTATATATATGTATTACATGTGAAATGTCCGGATGATACAAATCTTTAGAAGATCAAAATCATCAAAGTATTCCCTACATAGGTAATATTAATTGGGCAATAATATTACATAGTAGGCATGCTGAATGCCTCCGTAGAATATCATGTGATGGTATTGGTGTGGGTGATTATAAAAGTTATATCACTAGGGCATTAGCATGGATACGCGGTTAGTGAACTGTTTATCGAATATGGCCATTTATGATGAATCACATGGACATTTAAAATGTAGTCAATGATTTATCATAAGATCATACTAGGGTATTTTTAATCCTTAGACCTGAGATATCACGGTTGGATTCTGCATAAACGCATATGGTTCATATGGTGTATAAACATGAGGCTAATCATGCCATGTGTTAATAAGCCGATTTGGCCATGTGTTGTTTATGTGTGAGGACAAGTGATAGTCAAGATGGGATCCGTTGACTTGGTATAGATTGATATCAAGTTCCAAGACAAATGTCAAGATACATTGGAAAAGGGAAATCTCCGGCCGGGGTATATAAAATGTTACATGAAAGGTTGTTTCATGGTGACACGTTCCATATGTATTGAATTAAAATTAAGATAAGGATTTTGACATACCATGAATCCATTCTTAATTGGGATTAGACAACGGAAGGATTTGATTATACAACATGTATGATTGTAAAAGGTTCGTTGGAGTATATCTTCATTGTGACTTAGGGGTTATGGAGCATTGCTAGATGCCTACCATAATCAGTGGGAGTTTTGTTCATAAAGAGTTATGACAAAACATATCGAAATAGACTGTGATATTGGGCCCACGGCTAGGCCACAGTGAACCTAAGAGGTCACACATAAAAACTAAGGAGAATGAAGAAATAGCCAAAGAGAGTTGATTATCCAAGGTTGGCTAGCACCTACCAAAGGTAATAAAGTTATTTATATTAATCATTTTCTTTATATTAAATTGGATTTTACAAGGGGTTGTAATTGTAAACAATTTAAGGGTTAAATTGTTATGTAAACAATTTAAGAGTTAAATTGTTAATTGTGATTAAATGTTAATCCAATGTTATAATTTAAAGAAGTTTAACAACTTCATAACAATTATGGAATTGTTTAAGGAAGTCCAAAACAATTATTGAATTGTTTACAAGGATTCCTATATAAAGAAAATGATATATCAATTTTTGTGTAGAGAAAAAATCTTTAAGAACCCTAAATCTCCCTCTTGGTCAAATTTCTTCTTCCCTTGGTGTGGATACTCTTTTACTTAATTTCTCTTGAAATTAAGAGTCTCCAAGGTTGCTAAGGGCTTAAGGTAACATGTTCTACCTTACTTATTTCAATTTGATTGAAATTTATTTTTTAAACTATGATTATACTTGTTATAGTATGATATGCTTGATTCTCCATGCATCTATCTTTCAGTTTTAGTTGAATCTGAATCTGAAATGTAAGGGGTTAAAAGAGATGATTCAAAAAATAATAATATAAATAATATTATACTAATATATAAAAAAAGAGGATAATTTAGTAATTTATATAATATACCCACCAATTTATTCCTCAGAACCAAATATATTAATGTAACATACCCACCAATTTATTCCAACCAACCAAACATATTTCTCTAAATATTCCCAATAATCTTCAAGGTAATCTATCTTTCCATTAATATAACATTCTCAGTAATACAATATTCCCTGAACCAAACACACCCACATTACCAATGTTTAGTTGTCAATAAATATAAAATTCCGATAATCTTTTAAAACCAATAGTCATTATTATTGGTTATATAAGTGATAATATGAATACCACCATTTTTTTAGGCATTCTGAGATTATTTGGTAATCTTATTTTTGTTACAATTTTAACCCTAACTATTAAAGGACAGTAATTCCTTTGTTTTGAAATTAATTTACATGAACCATGCCATTATAATTTTACCTCTAACTAATTAGATTTTTGGATAGTAATACCCTTGATTTTAAAACAATTTACAAGCCAACCAAGAGGATTGTCAGCCGCCACTGTCGGCCACCACCGTCGGTCGTTGATCGACATGATCGGCTAGTTGTACGTCGATCTGACTGTTTCCGATCGAAAACGGCCAGATCGCTGTAGATCTAGCTGAAAACAACTTGATCGATGCACTACCAACCAGATCCGACTAATCATGCGTCGTTTCGACCATTGTCAACCATGATCGACGGTGGTGGCCGATAGTTGGCAATGGCTTGGGTGGGTGCTTGGTGGGGGTGATTTTGTTAAAATTTAAATTTTATATGATCGTGGTGTTTTATCAAAATCTCAAAGGTATGGTATTGTTTCGTTTTGTTGGAAATTTTTTCTTAATTCTATTTGGTGAAACCAAATGGGATTTGTGTACCCTAGTTGACAAGAAAAATGATACAGTTACCCAAAAAAATACACCAAATTCACGCACCAACAGATGTTTAATGAAATTTTTTTGAAGGAAAAAAATGGTGCCACATATGTCGAATTCATTGTATTCTCGGTTGACAATGCCGGCAGAAGGTAGGTGGATTAGGCTCTTTGGTTTCATACGTCAGCGGGAGCAGAAATTCAAAATTGTCAGAGTCGAGGACATGACGCGAGATTTAGCAATTAAAGAATGGCTTTAAATATTTATATTAATTGCCCCTTAGTCTTCCCTGCTGCACCTGCAATGTTACATTCATGATTCATTAAACACTAAACTTAAATTCGCACAAGTCACAACACACCGTTTGACTCTCTGAAACTATCAAGACTTTGGGAGCCATGGACTTTTCAGAGCTACGAGAAGCCATAGAGAAGGTTCAGCTAGTGGACGGCCATGCTCACAGTCTTGTGGCCCTCGACTCCGCCTTTCCTTTCATCAATTCCTTCTCTGAAGCGCAGGGTGACGCCTTGTCTGATGCTCCTCACTCCCTCTCCTTCAAGGTCCTTGCTATTTGTACACTCAACTTCATTCATTATTCATTGTTTCTTTGCTATATGTTTATGACTACTTCTAGTCGGTTTTAGTTAAAAGATATAGATCAAACACTTTGTTGAAGTAAAATTTGGCTATTGTAAAGGACTTGCTCGATCTGGTTTCGGATTATATGCTTTAACTGTGTAAAATGATTATACCATGTTTCTATCTAGAGGGTTGACTTGGTTGCTTTGTTATTTTACGACAGTAGATAAGGAGTCATATACTGTTGTTATGAATTCACGTGTTTATGAGGTTGGATAGCTGTGTGGATTATTATATTATGTAGTTTCTAACTGTCGAATTAGTGAAATACAATTATGATTATTGTGTTTCTTCTTATTTTCTGATGTTGTATTCTTATTTGGTAGCCTTCAATTTTGTATTGAATTGCGTTTGTTATGTTAATGCAGAGGAATTTGAGGAATATTGCTGAACTGTATGGCTGTGAATCAACTTTGCAAGCTGTTGAAGAATATCGCAGATCCTCAGGGTTAGAATTCATTAGCTCAGTATGCTTCAAAACTGCAAATATCTCAGCTGTACTCATTGACGATGGATTAAAGTTGGACAAGAAGCATGACCTCGAGTGGCATAAACGTTATGTTCCATTTGTTGGTAGAGTATTACGCATTGAACACCTGGCAGAGGAGATTCTAGATCAAGTGAGATACTTTATTGATTTTCATTTTGACTTGCAATTGTCCCAAGTTATTTAGTTTTGAGCCTATTCTTCAATGCAATTGCGATTTATGTGCTGTTGTTTATCACCCTATTTTTCTACTAGTCTATAACATGTCTTCTTGTTCTGTTGCTAAATTCCATGTATTCTATTTTCTGTTTTGAAATTCAACACCCTTGAAAGATTGAAAATAAGGGAACGTATGATAATTCTTAATATTTTTTATATTACTCACTTGATAAGCTCTAAGATTGGCTATTGGCAAACGATAAGGAAAAAAAAAAGAAAATTAATTTAAATCATCAAACAGTTAGGCTCTTAAGTCTTAATTTTTCAATTTATCATATGCAACATATTTAGGACCTTCTTAACATAATTATAACTCAATTCATATGTGTAATTGCTGGGACTTGTAATCTTCAGTGTTTTCTTTCCTTCTTTCGTTTATTCTCTTCATTTTTTTGCTTTGGTTTACCAAATCTCTGTCTTGATGTTTTTGATCCCTGGTTTCTGTCTTTTTTTTTTTGGGTGCTAGGATTTCTGATGTTTCGAAAGACCTCTGCAAATGTTCGTGTGCCAATGAGATAATTGATTCTGTCAAAAGCATGACTTGGGTTGTGTCAATTCAATGTGTTTGTTTGTGAAATACTAAAAAACTAAATGTCTCATTCACAATTTCTGCAATAGGCCACTAGCAGCTATCATTTTCGTGTTTGATTTGACAAAAAAGGGTAAGTATGTTAAACAACTTCGTTGCCCTATTAAACTTAGCTCACTGACTTTTTAATAAATGAAATTTTCATAATGTTTTTTCTTTTAGCATTCTGACTTTGTGTTTTTACAGGGAGGCCAGAGGGATACGTGAGATTGATATGTTCACTGAAATTTTTTTGGAGAACTTGAGGTCATATCCTTTCAGTTAGTTTAGATTTTGAACTGTGCTGCCTTTTGGTTGCTCTAGATGGTGTTGCACAAGCTAGTTGTTTTCACCATATACATTTTATCACCCTTATCCTCTAGTTCTCCATAGCGCAAGATGGTTATGGGCGTGAGATTTATTTAAAAAGTAGATGATGGTTTACAAAGTCTAGCTTCTATATTTCTATTTTGGTTGTATCAATAAATATAGATTTTAGACAGGAAAAGATTCACTACTTGGTTTCCTTAAAATCTCTGTTACAGTGGTGATAAAGTTTTGGCTTGAAAAGCATAGCTGCATATCGTAGTGGTTTAGAATTAATACTCAAGTGACTAAGAAGATGCCAGAAGGTCTTAGTGAAGTTTTATGTGGTGAGTATAGCAGGTTGATTGAGGACTTTTCATATTCTTCATTGTGAATGATAATCATTCTCTTTTGCCAGCTGGAAAGCCAGTCCGCTCACAAATAAAGCCTTATTGACTACTTATTCATATGTAGTTTGGAGGTTGCTGTATGCTATGACTTGCCATTGCAAATACACACAGGGTAATAAATTTTTATTTTGTTAAATGGTTTCCTTTGATGCTGATCAATGGCTGGAAAATGTAGGTGAGAATAAAAAAATTAAGTTGAGACTGTCTGGGAATTTCAAATGTGTTGTCACTTCATTTAAGCTCTAATTAAGTTGTCGGGAACACTTTGTTCAGTGGATACCTCAGTCATTGCCAGAAAATGTCTACATAACTTGAGTTGAGATCAATTTATGCCTGAGTTGGGACAACCTTGGTCTGATCTACTTCTTTGGATTCTTGACAGCTCATAAAAAATTGAAGTTATTTCTCCTTTTGCATGATAAGCCATCAACAGAGCATAAGGCAACCATTATGCTGATCCAGCATTGTGTCCTAGTTAATGACGTTGTTGTTTTCTTTACTATCAGCTTTGGAGCAAAGATTTGGATTTACGGCTGTCCAATCCCCTTCATCTCCGAAAAGTTCTCGAGGACAAGAGGTTTTCTGAATGCCGTATAGGCTGTACATGCATCATACCCATTTTCAAAGGAAGCCTCATACAGCATCTGTCTATAAACAGGTAAAATTTCGGTAGTGACTCAGTTTACTGTGTGTTTTCCAATGTTCAGTAGCAAGTTTCTGGGCAAGTATGCAACCCCTTACTTTCAGGTGTACCTTGACTTTGGTTGGCTGTTCCTAAGCTAAGTTCATGGGATGATCTCCTCAATCAAAGGACTTTTAGAGCTGGCCCCATTAAAGAAGGTGACAACATTTTCTATAAAATTATTTTCAGGAGAATATTAGTGTTCAGTCAAGCTTCTAAAAAAGATAAGTTATCTGCAGTGAGAATGAGTCCTTGGAAATTCTTTAACAAGGGTAATTTTTTTTTTTTGTTGGTCAAGTAGCTTTTTGGAAGATTTTGGAAGAGAAAAGCCTCATGAAAGAATATTTGTGTAATTTTGTTAGTTCTTGCAACAAAATAGCATTTTTTTTCTCTCTATTTCTTCCTGCTATTAATATTTTATCCTTCACAAAACTCATCTCACAATAATGTTTATCTACATGTTTGAATTGTTTCAAAAACTATCTACTCATGTATTTGTTGTTAGAAGTGGTATCTTGAATCTCCTCATAATGTTTAGAAAGGCGAGAGAGTTTCCCTAATTTATGTATGAATAACTTGCTTAGTTTCTACTAACAGCTACCTTGTTAAACACAAATAACCTTGCAGGTCATGTTCAGCACGATGCTATGCTCTCCTGAAACTTACTATTTAGGTTTTTTTATTAATCTTATCTATTGATTTAACCAGGCATGATCCTATAATAAGTTTGATCTCTAATGCCTCCATGTATTGCAATTATAACTCTTAATATTGTATTTCATTATTCATTTTTTTTCTTTGGTCTACATGTCTTGTAATCAAGATCTGGATTGATCAGCATAGCTGCCTATTTAAATCAATTGATATATCTGTGTTTTCAATTTGTTGGAAATATATTATCTCTTATTATGATTAAAATTATTGCTTTTGCTTTTAGGTGCCAAAAAGCACGTGAAGTTGTCTTCTCTGTCCTACGCGATGCATGCATTGACAGTGATCTCTCTGTTGCTGAAGCTATTGAAGCAGCTGAAGATATTTTCGCTCAAAATGCGATTCATTTTTACAAAATTATGTTAGGTGTAAGTCTATGATTCAACTCAATGTGCAGCCCAACAATGTGAAGAAGGAGATTGTTGTCTCTGAAAATGATGTTTCACTTGTTCGCGTTATCTGGGTGATGCTTCTGGACAACACAGATGTCGTGTGGATTCCTTTTTCCCTTTTTTTTTTTTTTTTTTTTTTTTTTTTTTTCTGTTCACATTTGTTCTTTGAATTACCTTAGGCTTTGATTATTTTAATGTATTGAAGAGTCTGGATATGCTACAAAAGTTGAACCATTTCACTTTAGTTAGCCAGAAAGAAGTTTTAGGGCTCTCTTTGGTGTTTGAGAAATGTAGAACTGAAAAAAGTCCTAGATTTAACATTCAGTCTTTGTTGATGAGCAATACCTTATATCCACGTGGAATAGATTCATTTTTATTCTTTAGTTCCACTTGCTGAATCATAGCTTGGTTGCACATCCCTGATCGTCAAATGTTATTTAATGCTTCTATTGCATAATAGAAGCATGACAATGAAAATACTTACCCTTTCTTCAAGTTTTTCATGCATTACTTCTGTTATTTGTGAAAAAGAAAAGAAACCTCTCACTTTTAATTTATGCTAATTGGTTCTCATCCACTGGATTTCTTATTATAGTAGTTTTCATTTATCATTGAAGTTGGTTTTATATGCTAGTTGAAGTTGTTTTCCCATTCTCTAGGACTTTGGCTCTATATTAGGGCTCAAAAGTAATTTATTCCCAGACTTGATCATGAATTGATTATTGAGAATAAAGAATAATTTCTCCTTCAGTTACTGTCTTTATTTTTCTCCTGTTTCTTCTTTTGTGTGATCTTCAAATTAGGTTAGGGAATGAATAAAGTGATATTGGAAAATGAATATCTACCACAAACTTTTGATATCCTCTATATATATTATCAATAGAGATAACTCAATTTTAGACTTTGAACTCAAGGATACAGTGCAGCCTTTGGTTGGTTTTGTTCCTTGTTATTATTTCAATAATCATGTGCAAGATACGAAGGAATCATATTTGGTCTTTGTAGAAACTCATTTGTTGGAGGCATTGTCAAATTAGATTTAGAATAAATGGGGTAAATTTAGACAATATAGTTTGATATTAATCCTTAATTTTTGTACATCATTTCAGGTTGTTCCAGTGAAGCGCTTCAATATGTTGTTAAAAAGAATGGTGTTGGTTTGACGTTTGCTGATGGGAATGAGTTCAGCTGTTGATGGTCCAGCTGATGAGACTATCTAACGGAACGGGTGAGATCAGAGTGATGCCTGATTTATCAACTAGATGTAGAATTCCATGGTACAGTACATTTCACAACAACACTATTTGGTTTTTACTTGAAGAATTACCCTATGATATGTGATGGTTTATATTTAAAATTTAAATTTAAAATATTTAACCTTTTGTTCTCTGAATTTATAGATGCTCTATTTTTATTGTACTTTATTGTAATTGATATAATTCACTTTCTCTACAGGAAAGCCAAGAGGAGATGGTTTTGGTTCATCATCTTAAACCTGGTCCTTGGGAATATTGCCCTAGAGAGGCCTTACGAGGGTTTCAAAAGTTCTGAAAGAAGATACTTGGTATGTAAGATATTGAGTGCCTTACATGTGAAACTGAAGTACTTAGATACTCATTTTAGAAATGTTATATGTGCAGGTGATGAATGCTGGGTTTGAAAATGAGTTTTATCTCTTGAGAGTGTACTGAGGTACTGAACTATATTTCTAAGACTGTTTCTAATGGGAGCCTCTTTGGCACTGCAATTTATTGTTCAATTTGATTGACAAACTTGTGAAGGGAAGGGAAAGAAGAATGGGTACCAATGACTCAACACCGTACTGCTCTCGTCAGGATATGAGCCGTTTCTCCTAATTTCATGATGTTGTGGTTGATCTTCACTCCTTAAATATTGCAGTAGAGCAGGTAAGATATATATAGTTTGCTGATCATAATTATTTAGATAGTGTCAATTTTGTTGGACTGTTAGTATGTTGGCTTGATAATTGATATACAATTAGACCTGGCAAATGGGTGGGCTGGGTAACTACGGGTAATGGGTAAACGGGTACGGGTCCACGAGTACAAAATTTTCACGGGTTGGGATGCATGACCCGTACCCGTCCGTACGGGTACGGGTCGACCCACAGGTTACCCACATAAAATAGACTTTTCTGCATTTTTTTTTCTTCCAGTTTTTTGTTATTTCCCACCGGAGACTGAGCTTAGCCCACCACCTCTCTTTGTTAAAGCCTGAAAATTCTGCCGCCTGTAAAAAAAACCCACAAAGTAAAAACTAGTAAGAGAAAGAAAGTTCAACAATCCCAACAACCTTTCTCTTCCTTAGCTCACAGTCACAGATCTTGTTTATTTAGAATCTCAACAACCTTTCTCTTCCTTTTTCTTCATACAAACCCAATTTCTCTTCCTTCTTCTTTAGACCCCTTCTTCTTTAGCTAAGCAAAACACAAATCAAATAAGTACCAGAGGATGAGGCCGGGAGGGAGATGAAATCCAACTGTTGTTAATAATTTGAATCTGACGGAACTGTACAAGGAACTGCAGAGAACATAGTGATGAGAGTTTGGAGAGGTTTCTAGAAGAAGCTTTAGTGCTCAAGGAAGGAATTGTTGAAGCTGAAACTGAAATCGCCATTCCAAACTTTGAATTGAATCTTGAGAAAAGAGAATAAAAATACTTGTTTGTTTGTTTGTTTGGTGTAGAGAGTGATGTAGAGTTGAAAGGAGAGAGGAGGCCTGTTGTTTTAATTTTTTTTTTAATTTTGTATGGGTACCAGCGGGCATCACCCGGCCCACCCGCAATTTTTGTGGGCAGGCCAGGTACAGGTAATTTTGGAATGGGTAAATATTATGGACACCCGTACCCGCCCGTTCTACCCATGGTCAAAGATTGCCAGGTCTATATGAAGTTATTCTTAGTTTATTGCTAATTTGGTCTGCAAATTTTAATGTTTGATAGGGATTTCTTATGTTTGGAATTAGCTTCTGTATTACCTTGGTGAACATGTAGGGAAGGTTGTGAGATTCTGGGTATAAAAGAAAAAATGTTGTCTCTGTTGAGAAAAGCTATGGATCTGAAAAAAAAGGGAAAATTCATCTTTAAGAACTCAAATCTCATGGTAAACTGTTAAGCATGCCAGTGACTGGCCTGGCTAGAAAGTTTTTTTTTTTTTTTTNCCCTTGAAAGAATTGAAAATAAGGGGAACGTATGATAATTCTTAATATTTTTTTATATGACTTTACTTGATAAAGCATCTAAGATTGGCTATTGGCAAACGATAAGGAAAAAAAAAAGAAAATTAATTTAATATCATCAAACAGTTAGGCTCTTAAGTCTTAATTTTTCAATTTATCATATGCAGACATAGTTATGGACCTTCTTAACATAATTTATAACTCAATTCATATGTGTAATTGCTGGGACTTGTAATCTTGTCAGTGTTTTCTTTCCTTCTTTCATTTATTCTCTTCATTTTTTTGCTTTGGTTTACCAAATCTCTGTCTTTGATGTTTTTGGATCCCTGGTTTCTGTCTTTTTTTTTTTTGGGTGCTAGGATTTCTGATGTTTCGGAAAGAAACTCTGCAAATGTTCGTGTGCCAATGAGATAATTGATTCTGTCAAAAAGCATGACTTGGGTTGTGTCAATTCAATGTGTTTTGTTTGTGAAATACTAAAAAACTAAATGTCTCATTCACAAATTTCTGCAATAGGCCACTAGCAGCTATCAGTTTCGTGTTCATGATTTAGACAAAAAAGGGGTAATATGTTAAACTGGACTTCGTTGCCCTATTAAACTTAGCTCACATGACTTTTTAAATAAATGAAATTTTCATAATGTTTTTTCTTTTAGCATTCTGACTTTGTGGTTTTACAGGAGATGCCAGAGGGATGTACTTGGAGATTGGATATGTTCACTGAAATTTTTTTGGAGAACTTGAGGTCATATCCTTTCAGTTAGTTTAGATATTTGAACTGTGCTGTCTTTTGGTTGCTCTAGATGGTGTTGCACAAGCTAGTTGTTTTCACCATATAACATTTTATCCACCCTTATCCTCTAGTTCTCCATAGCTGCAAGATGGTTATGGGCGGTGAGATTTATTTTAAAAAGTAGATGATGGGTTTACAAAGTCTATGCTTCTATATTTCTATTTTGGTTGTATCAATAAATATAGATGTTAATAGACAGGAAAAGATTCACTACTTGGTTTCCTTAAAATCTCTGTTACAGTTGGTGATAAAGTTTTTGGCTTGAAAAGCATAGCTGCATATCGTAGTGGTTTAGAAATTAATACTCAAGTGACTAAAGAAGATGCCGAGGAAGGTCTTAGTGAAGTTTTATGTGGTGAGTATAGCATGTTGATTGAGGACTTTTCATATTCTTCATTGTGAATGATAATCATTCTCTTTTGCCAGCTGGAAAGCCAGTCCGCATCACAAATAAAAGCCTTATTGACTACTTATTCATATGTAGTTTGGAGGTTGCTGTATGCTATGACTTGCCATTGCAAATACACACAGGGTAATAAATTTTTGATTTTGTTAAATGGTTTCCTTTGATGCTCTGATCAATGGCTGGAAAATGTAGGTGAGAAATAAAAAAATTAAGTTGAGACTGTCTGGGAATTTCAAATGTGTCTAATTTAAGTTTGTCGGGGAACACTTTTTTCAATGGATACTCAAGTCATTGCCAGAAAATGTCTACATAACTTGAAGTTGAGATCAATTTATGCCTGGGAGTTGGGACAACCTTGGTCTGATCTACTTCTTTGGATTCTTGGACAGCTCATAAAAAATTGAAGTTATTTCTCCTTTTGCTATGATAAGCCATCAACAGAGCAGAAAGGCAACCATTATGCTGATTCAGCATTGTGAGTCCTAGTTAATGACGTTGTTGTTTTTCTTTACTATCAGCTTTGGAGACAAAGATTTGGATTTACGGCTGTCCAATCCCCTTCATCTCCGAAAAGTTCTCGAGGACAAGAGGTTTTCTGAATGCCGTATAGTGCTGTTACATGCATCATACCCATTTTCAAAGGAAGCCTCATATCTAGCATCTGTCTATAAACAGGTAAAATTTTCAGTAGTGAATCAGTTTACTTGTGTGTTTCCAATGTTCAGGTAGCAAGTTTCTGGGCAAGTAATGCAACACCCTTACTTTCAGGTGTACCTTGACTTTGGGTTGGCTGTTCCTAAGCTAAGTGTTCATGGGATGATCTCCTCAATCAAAGGACTTTTAGAGCTGGCCCCATTAAAGAAGGTGACAACATTTTCATATGAAAATTTATTTTCAGGAGAATATTAGTGTTCAGTCAAGCTTCTAAAAAAGATAACTTATTCTGCAGTGAGAATGAGTCCTTGGAAATTCTTTAACAAGGGTAAATTTTTTTTTTTTTTTTTTTGTCAAGTAGTTTTTTGGAAGATTTTACTGGAAGAGAATAAAAGCCTCAATGAAAGAATATTTGTGTAATTTTGTAAAGGTTCTTGACAACAAAATAGCATTTTTTTTCTCTCTATTTTTCTTCCTGCTATTAATGTATTTTATCCTTCACTAAAAAATCTATCTTACAATAATGTTTATCTACATGTTTGAATTGTTTAAAAAAACTATCTACTCATGTATTTTTTGTTAGAAGTGGTATCTTGAATCTCCTCATAATGTTTAGAAAGACGAGGAGTTTCCCTAATTTATGTATGAATAACTTGCTTAGTTTCTACTAACAGCNGTATTTTATCCTTCACTAAAAAATCTATCTAACAATAATGTTTATCTACATGTTTGAATTGTTTCAAAAAACTATCTACTCATGTATTTGTTGTTAGAAGTGGTATCTTGAATCTCCTCATAATGTTTAGAAAGGCGAGAGAGTTTCCCTAATTTATGTATGAATAACTTGCTTAGTTTCTACTAACAACTACCATTGTTAAACACAAATAACCTTGCAGGTCATGTTCAGCACTGATGGCTATGCATCTCCTGAAACTTACTATTTAGGTTTGTTTAATTAATCTTATCTATTGAATTTAACCAGGCATGATCTCTATAATAAGTTTGATCTCTAATGCCCTCCATGTATTGCAATTATAAACTCTTAATATTGTATTTCATTATTCATTTTTTTTCTTTGGTCTACATGTCTTGTAATCAAGATCTGGATTGATCAGCATTAGCTGCCTATTTAAATCAATTGATATATCTGTGTTTTCAATTTGTTGGAAATATATTATCTCTTATGTTAATTGATTGAAAATTATTGCTTTTGCTTTTAGGTGCAAAAAAAGCACGTGAAGTTGTCTTCTCTGTCCTACGCGATGCATGCATTGACAGTGATCTCTCTGTTGCTGAAGCTATTGAAGCAGCTGAAGATATTTTCGCTCAAAATGCGATTCATTTTTACAAAATTATGTTAGGTGTAAAGTCTAATGATTCAAAGCTCAATGTGCAGCCCAACAATGTGAAGAAGGAGATTGTTGTCTCTGAAAATGATGTTTCACTTGTTCGCGTTATCTGGGTTGATGCTTCTGGACAACACAGATGTCGTGTGAGTTCCCTTTTTTTTTTTTTTTTTTTTTCTGTTCACATTTGTTCTTTGAATTACCTTAGGCTTTGATTATTTTAATTGTATTGAAGAAGTCTGGATATGTCTACAAAAGTTGAACCATTTCACTTTAGTTAGCCAGAAAGAAGTTTTAGGGCTCTCTTTGGTGTTTCAGAAATGTAGAACTGAAAAAAGTCCTAGATTCTAACATTCAGTCTTTGTTGATGAGCAATACCTTTATATCCACGTGGAAATAGATTCATTTTTATTCTTTAGTTCCACTTGCTGAATCATAGCTTGGTTGCACATCCCTGATTCGTCAAATGTTATTTAAATGCTTCTATTGCATAAATAGAAGCATTGCAATGACAATACTTACACCTTTCTTCAAGTTATTCATGCATTACTTCTGTTATTTGTGAAAAGAAAGAAAGCCTATAGATAAATTTGTCTCACTTTTAATTTATGCTAATTGGTTCTCCATCCACTGGATTTCTTATTATAGTAGTTTTCTATTTAGCATTAGAAGTTGGTTTTATATGCTAGTTGAAGTTGTTTTCCCATTCTCTTTAGGACTTTGGCTGCTATAAATTAGGGCTCAAAAGTAATTTATTCCCAGACTTGATCATGAATTGAGTATTGAGAATAAAGAATAATTTCTCCTTCAGTTACTGTCTTTATTTTTCTCCTGTTTCTTCTTTTGTGTGATCTTCAAATTAGGTTAGGGAATGAATAAAGTGATATTGGAAAATGAAATATCTACCACAAACTTTTGATATCCTCTATATATATTATCAATAGTAGATAAACTCAATTTTAGACGTTTGAACTCAAGGATACAGTGCAGCCTTTGGGTTGAGTTTTGTTCCTTGTTATTATTTCAATAATCATGTGCAAGATACCGAAGGAATCATATTTGGTCTTTGTAGAAACTCATTTGTTGGAGGCATTGTCAAATTAGCATTTAGAATAAATGGGGTAAATTTAGACAATATAGTTTGATATTAATCCTTAATTTGTTGTACATCATTTCAGGTTGTTCCAGTGAAGCGCTTCAATGATGTTGTTAAAAAGAATGGTGTTGGTTTGACGTTTGCATGTATGGGAATGAGTTCAGCTGTTGATGGTCCAGCTGATGAGACTAATCTGACAGGAACGGGTGAGATCAGATTGATGCCTGATTTATCAACTAGATGTAGAATTCCATGGTACAGTACATTTCACAACAACACTATTTGGTTTTTACTTGAAGAATTACCCTATATGATATGTGATGGTTGTAATTTAAAATTTAAAATTTAAAATATTTAACCTTTTGTTCTCTGAATTTATATGATGCTCTATATTTATTGTACTTTAATTGTAATTGATATAATTCACTTTCTCTACAGGAAAAGCCAAGAGGAGATGGTTTTGGTTGACATGCATCTTAAACCTGGTGAACCTTGGGAATATTGCCCTAGAGAGGCCTTACGGAGGGTTTCAAAAGTTCTGAAAGAAGAATTTAACTTGGTATGTAAGATATTGAGTGCCTTACATGTGAAACTGAAGTACTTAGATACTCATTTTAGAAATGTTATATGTGCAGGTGATGAATGCTGGGTTTGAAAATGAGTTTTATCTGTTGAAGAGTGTACTGAGGTACTGAACTATATTCTCTAAGACTGTTTCTAATGGGAGCAGCTCTTTGGCACTGTCAATTTATTGTTCAATTTGATTGACAAACTTGTGAAGGGAAGGGAAAGAAGAATGGGTACCAATTGACTCAACACCGTACTGCTCTTCGTCAGGATATGATGCCGTTTCTCCTATATTTCATGATGTTGTGGCTGATCTTCACTCCTTAAATATTGCAGTAGAGCAGGTAAGATATATAGAGTTTGCTGATCATAATTATTTAGATAGTGTCAATTTTGTTGGACTGTTAGTATGTTGGCTTGATAATTGATATACAATTAGACCTGGCAAACGGGTGGGTATGGACCGGGTAACTATTGGTAATGGGTAAAACGGGCACAGGTCCACAAGTACAAAATTTTCACGGGTTGGGAATGCATGACCTGTACCCGCCCGTACGGGTATGGGTCGACCCGCAGGTCACCCAAATAAAATGGACTTTTCTGCATTTTTTTTTTCTTCCAGTTTTTTGTTATTTCCCACCGGAGACTAAGCTTAGCCCATCGCCTCTCTTTGTTAAAGCCTGAAAATTCTGCCTCCTGCAAAGACAACCCACAAAGTAAAAACTAGTAAGAGAAAGAAAGTTCAACAGTCCCAACAACCTTTCTCTTCCTTAGCTCACAGTCACAGATCTTGTTTCTTTAGAATCCCAACAACCTTTCTCTTCCTTCTTCTTCATACAAACCCAATTTCTCTTCCTTCTTCTTTAGACCCCTTCTTCTTTAGCTGAACAAAACACAAATCAAATAAGTACCAGAGGATGAGGCCGGGAGGGAGATGAAATCCGGCTATTGTTAATAATTTGAATCTGACGGAACTTTACAAGGAATTGTAGAGAAGATAGCAATGAGAGTTTGGAGAGGTTTCTAGAAGAAGCTTTAGTGCTCAAGGAAGGAATTGTTGAAGCCGAAACTGAAATTGCCATTCCAAACTTTGAATTGAATCTTGAGAAAAGAGAATAAAAATACTTGTTTGTTTGCTGTAGAGAGTGATGCAGAGTTGAAAGGAGAGAGGAGGCTTGTTGTTTTAATTTTTATTTTTATTTTGTATGGGTACCCGCTGGCATCACCCGGCCCACCCGCAATTTTTGTGGGCAAGCCGGGTACGGGTAATTTTGGAACGGGTAAATATTATGGACACCTGTACCCACCCGGGTACCCGTGAACCCGTGGGTACGGGTCAAAGATTGCCAGGTCTATATACAGTCTATGTAAAGTTATTCTTAGTTTATTGCTAATTTGGTCTGCAAATTTTAATGTTTGATAGGGATTTCTTATGTTTGGAATTAGCTCCTGTATTACCTTGGTGAACATGTAGGGAAGGTTGTGAGATTCTGGGCATAAAAGAAAAAATGTTGTCTCTGTTGAGAAAAGCTATGGATCTGAAAAAAAAAAGGAAAAAATCCTCTTTTAAGAACTCAAATCTCATGGTAAACTGTTAAGCATGCCAATGACTGGCCCGGCTAGAAAGTTTTTTTTTTTTTTTTCCCTGTGTTAACTGTATCAGATTCAAAGTGATTTTAAGAAATTTTGTTATTTTTTTGTACTCTTATGTACAAATGATTGGACAATACAAAAAAAATAAGTGTTTGATACCCGTAGTCTGTTTATCTTTTGCACACTGTATACCAATTTTAGGAGAGACATCCTTGGTTTTTAGTGCAAAAGACAACTTCTATCATAACGAACAATTAATTTGGTTTCTGTACAATCTAATACTACAGTAAGTTCCACTTGCATATTACTTTAATTTGGAGATGTCTACTTCTGTTTTCTGCATATTTCTCTATGTTTTCTAGTTTATTTTCCTTGGTTTTCCTTCTTCCTCTTTTGTATGTTTTCCATTTCAGCACTGTAGTAAAATTTTACCTTCTTTTATTAACTCCTTTGACTTTTCAAATTGTCTTAGTTACATTCAGAAGCTGGGAAAGGTCAGTTTGAAGTGGCTCTGGGGTATACTGTTTGTATGAAAGCTGCCGACAATTTGATCTTCACCCGTGAAGTTGTGAGGGCTGTTGCAAGGAAACATGGGCTGTTGGCAACATTTGTACCAAAGTAGGTTCTTGATTCCTTTTATTTTGGTTTCCTGCAATGGTAGATGACTGATATTGTATTAACATGGTCGATGTTTTCTAAATCTTATAAACAGTTATTGAGTTTTTAAGGGCAAGGAAAATATCGGTAGCAGGGCTGAAGAGAGTGTTGTGCCGGGCAAGGCTATTTATTATTGAGTTTTTTCCTGCTTGCATTTTCAGAAAAAAAAAAAAGAAAAAAAAGAAATGGATTTTATATGTATACTTTATTTATTTATTTATTGTTATTTTTAAATACAAATAATTTGTTAATTTGTATCTATAAGGCATATAGCCAACTCAATCTAACTTAGCCAGCTGAACTTAAATACCTGGATCCACCCCTTGGTTACTGGAAAGATTATTTTTAGTAAAATGATGGCAACATTCACCCAAGGGGCCACTATGAACTAACGATTCCTTTTAAATGGTAGCTCTACTCTGTAGTATTTTGTCCATGGCAGAGGTCTATCCAATGATTTTATATCCTTTTAGTTGACCAGGTATTCTGTACCTTTTTCTAAACTTTCTTCCATAATTTGATGTGATGATTAAAAATCATAAGTGTAACTTATGCCATCCTGTGACCATTATTGATGTTCTAGCTTGTGAATTTTTGAATCCTCTGCTTTAACATTACGAACCTAGCATTTTTCATCACTTAACATAAGGATCTATTCATTTGTCTAGGTATGCTTTAGATGACATCGGTTCTGGATCCCATGTCCATTTGAGTTTGTGGCAGAATGGAGAAAATGTTTTTATGGCATCTGGTGGAGCCTCTAGCCATGGAATGTCTAGTATTGGCGAGGAGTTCATGGCAGGCGTTTTGCATCATCTTCCTTCAGTTTTGGCATTTACGGCTCCAGTTCCAAATAGGTTCCTTTAATATATATTGTGCATGTAGTTCATGCTAGTTCTTTTTCATGATTTATTTATTTATTTTTTGTGGCAGTCTAGGTAAAGACATGTTACTGGGGTACTTTATGCGAGTTCATTGCATCAAACCCATTAAATTTTCTTGATCTGGGATATGGTAATTCGATAAAATTCATTTTTGTACATGCATTTGCAAATAGCAATCTGAAATGTATTTATTATATTTTCACAGAAGATTTTTTAACCCAGTTTTGTTGGTATCATTTATAATAATCATGCTTTACTCCTGTCACTTTTTGGCTGTTTTGCAGGGAGGGTAAGGTATATCCTTATTAGATGATTTATAATTATGTGACTTGCCTTTTTCAAGATCAGTAATGTTGAGTCTGCTTTAGGGCAACTAGATTTGTTTGGGCATTAATACCGATGAAATCTTTCTTAGGAATCTGATCAAGATTTGTTTTGGTTTGTTTCTTTATATCAAGAGAAGACCAGTAGTTTGATATTAGTTACTGTTTGTATCTGAACTTCCCTTTTTCTAATTTTTTATTTTTTTATTTTCTGGAAATAACTTTTCTTGCATCGAACAAATCTGTGCAATACTACTTTTCCTATGCATATAGATTCTAAATCATTGAACTTAAAAAAAAAAAAAAAAAAAAAAAAAAAAAAAAAAAATTAAGTATTAGTGATTTGACAGATTTAGACCTTTTTTTTTATCCTCAAACCCAAAAATATGAGGTATTAGTGATTTGACAGATATTGGTCCTTTGTTTAATCTTCAAAACCTTTTCATATGAAGTGTTATCTTCTTGTCGCATCCTAGGCTATGTTTTTTTTATTTTTTTTATTTGAATGACATTATTAGAGTTTACCATACACTAATATTTCATTTCCTTATTGCTTCAACTTTTGAACTTGTTATTGTTTGACTGAAATGCCATATAGGATATTGTTATAAGTTGTTTACTGAAAAATATGCTTTATATGGACTTTCTGCTCTTACCCCCTTCTAATTCTCCTTTTATATAGCTATGATCGAATACAACCCAATACATGGAGTGGAGCATACCAGTGCTGGGGAAAAGAAAATAGGGAAGCTCCATTAAGAACTGCATGCCCGCCTGGAATCCAGGATGGTCTGGTGAGCAACTTTGAAATAAAATGTTTTGATGGATGTGCCAATCCACACCTGGGCTTGGCTGCTATAATTGCTAGTGGCATTGATGGCCTCCGTAGGCATCTTCGTCTTCCTGAACCTATAGGTAAATTGAATATATTTTATATTGCCAATGTAAATCACTTATTTTACAATTTATTGGGGTGTTTTTGTAAATTAAACTTGTGAACTAGGATCTGTGATTTACTTTTTTGCTATTGGAAGTATATAAGAGACTAAAATGTGGACATAGGAGGTAGTTTATATTGGTATGCCCCGTAACCAACATGATTCATTCAAGAGAATTGCTGAGAATTCAGTGCTTCCATTGTTCTCTACTCCCTGTTTACTTTAATTCACTACTGGTGTGCATCTTCTTTTGTCAATCCATCATTTTGCCATTTCTTTGACTTTGTAATATTTCTCAACCATCTTAATAGTGTTTTATTGATGATGATAATTCCCTCAATCAAGCAGCTATTACAGCTGAATACAGCACATGCTGAATTTTGTATGTAAAGAAAAACAAAAAGAAGCACTATATAACACTTGTGAATGTAGTCCAAAATGATGACCAAAATTCAATTTCTATTAGTATTTATTTTAACCCTTCTTAGAGAAAGTTGTACTCAGTTTGATATCTCGGATTCTATTTGTTAAACAGATGCAAACCCTGCCAGTCTTGATGGAAAACTACAAAGACTGCCTAAATCACTCTCTGAATCTTTAGAAGCTCTTGAGAAAGATGATTTCTTGCACGATTTAATTGGTGAAAGGCTTTTGGTTGCCATAAAAGGAGTTCGCAAGGTATGTCCAGAATTTTGTTTTCAATGGTATTCTCTAAGTAAGTTTACTCAATGAGTTTATTTAAAATATCAGCATTCCTTTTGTCATTTATGTAGGTGAAAGTTTGTCTGCATTTGCCCTTTTAGCCTGGCTGGAATTTGTTAATTTTTACATGAATTGATTTCTTAGTTTAGTTCATGTGTAGCCAACCTCTGCATAATGTTAAAACCAACTTGAGCTCCAAAAAATTATTTTGGTTAATAAAGGAAGATCCATCTTAGTGTTATTTCAAATTAGTGGGCATAAGGCATCTCTTTACATTATTATTGGTATGAAAGAGTTGTTCCGTGATAAGACAGACTTCTTGTTGAATGGGTATGTTTCATTGACCTCTTAAGGTTTGGTTTAACTAAAGACAGATTTGCGTGGTTTAATAAATAGGTAGGTAAAGAACTCCTTTGCATTTTTGATAATTTTGCAATTTTGGGAGGTCTCTTTGACAATTTCAAGGGAGATTAATGATGATTTTAACAAATGCAAGGGAGGATATAGCTGACTTTCGGAATTGTCAATCAAATTCCCTTCATGAAACAATGTGAATTTTGAAACATATTTACAAATCTGCCATAACGCTTCAGAAAACCTGTATGCCAGTTTCTTTGCTGAGAATTTACAAGGCTTCAACTTGCACTGGAGTTAACAAATTTGTCTCTGAATTGTTGATATTTCTGTTAAAATTGTTATTGCAATGTTTTACAAATTTCATTTGCTTCTTGATTTTGTTGCTACCATGGTCTTGCTTTCTAGATATTAATATTATTACTGTTACTTTAATCTTTTCATTAGCCAATTACAGAACCATTAGGTAAGAAACTTTCTATACGTCCTTACAATTTCCAACCTTGTCGGAAGTATCTACTGTAGCAGAAATTTAGCTTTTGAATCCCTCTGTCATGTCTCTTGAGATTTTAACCCAATTTATATGTATCATTTCATCGATGAGGTCTTCTTTGTTATTAGGAATGAGAGAGAGAGAGAGAGAGCACTCATTATTTTTACTTTATAACTGGAGGTTCATATTTGACTTTAGTTTGGTTTTCTGAAGTGGGGTGTCAACTCTCATTGAACAAACTAGTCTAAATGCCTTTTACCTAACATATCAACCATTTAGAGTTAAGACAAAAATTAAGCTTGATTTGGTTTCGATTGCTTTATACTGCGAGGCTTTGGAGCCACCCGATTGTAGAATGGAATTGGGGGCTGCTTTGAAGATAGCCCGAGTTCTTTTGTCTAACTCCAAACTAATCATGTTGAGTATGACTTCTTTATTTGCAGGCTGAAATCAACTACTACTCAAAAGATAAGGAAGCATACAAGCAACTTATCCATCGCTACTAAGCTTATTTTCTTGTTGGTGAGAATAAGGGCTCTGGGAGTCCTTTCTCTTGATTGAATCCTCTTTAGCTTTATAGGTCACACAGGAAATAAAAATAGTTCAAAATTATGCTAGGCTGATCTTATTTGATAACTTCAATGCCATTGTTAGGCCTTCACATAATTTCTTCATTAGTATGTAGTGTTCTGTATTTGTGTTTTATATTTATAATTGACAAGAAGAAATATTATGACCACCAAAGTTTTTTTTAATTTGCTATATGCTTAATTTATTCCCTAGAATCATGCATTGTCTTTCATTCATTCTATTACATCATTGTATATACTTGTCGATATATTTGCAAATTTATTGCTTATTATAGTATGGGTTGTACTCGTAGACCTGAGGAGGAGGAGGACCATTCTATGATCCATACAGAATGTGAATGAGTGGCCGACTGCGGCAAGATAATCTGACTCGCAAAACTCCTGAAAAATTGGTAGCCCTTTCTTCTATTTGGAAGGAGAGGCAAAGATTAAATGGTAACATTCTCTTAATTACCAAACCACTGAAATACCGATAAAAGATATCATATTCATAGCTAAAAAAGGCACAACAGACTTGAACTCTTCCGTAATCTATATATATATATCCTTGCAATCTATGAAACTTAAACAAAACCATTATTAAGAGAGCTAAAGTATAAAATGGCTTACCCAACTTCTTTTATCATAGCCATGGCATTGCCTATAAAACACGTTTCATTTATCTTGTTGCTTTTAGCTTCTAATTTGCTTGAGTGTCATGCTAATTATACCCAACACGCTTTGGGCCGTCATTTCCATTCTGTAGCACATAATATTATTAAACATCATAAACCAAAATTCAAGCCTGGTCCTTGGAAGAAGGCTCATGCCACATTTTATGAAGGAAACTCTGCAACATTTGGTAAATTAATACTAACAAGCTCTTCAATAATAACTTTTTTTTTTTTTCTTTTTTACATTATTTCATGACCATTGATTACCTATTTTAAGTCGAATAAGACCACGCTTAATTTAATTGCAACATGAACTTCTCTTATTGATTTTACTTAGAATATTACTATGATTAATATGCCTTTTATTTTCATTGCTTCTAAACTTTGTGCTGATAAGTATATGATTAAAGGTGGAGCTTGTGGTTATGAAGATATTGGCAAAGAAGGATATGGTATAGGTACAGTAGCATTGAGCACACCTTTGTTTAACAATGGACAAATTTGTGGTGCTTGTTATGAGATTAAATGTATTGAAAATCCCAAGTATTGCCATCCGGAACATTCTCTCTTTGTCACAGCAACCAACCTTTGCCCACCAAATTACTATCTAGCAAGTGACAATGGAGGATGGTGCAATCCACCTCGTGAACATTTTGACATAGCCTATCCTGCATTTAATGAAATTGCTGAGTACAACGCTGGCATTGTCCCAATTGATTATCGCAGGTTCCATCTTTTATCTTAATTATCTACATATTTAAAAAAAGTTGTAGTTTCTGACTATTCTTAGATTTAAGCCTGCATGAAATAAATAAAGTTATGACTTAAATGAGTTTGATTGTAGAGTTCCATGCCAAAAGCAAGGAGGGATTCGATTTACAATAACTGGGAATCCGTACTTCAATTTAGTCTCTGTATGGAACGTTGGAGGGGCCGGAGATGTGGTTAGGATGCTAGTGAAGGGTAATAAGAAGTTGAAATGGACTGTAATGACAAGAAATTGGGGTCAAAAGTGGCAGACCAATGCAATGATGGTTGGAGAGTCTCTAACTTTTCGAGTTAAAGCAAGTGATGGTAGAACCTCAACCTCATGGCATGTTGTGCCCACCAATTGGCAATATGGTCAAACTTTTGAGGGCAAAAACTTCAAGTAGAGAACTACTACAAATATCCAACTTGTATTGTCCCCAATTTCTTTTTTTTTTTTAATTCGAGCCATAGTATTATTTGCAGTCACTAACGCTTGCTGGCCATGTTCATTATGGCAAGTATCAGCTAGCACGCGTGTTATGCATTCTATGGTAGATTTCTTTGTATTAGTTTAGCTTAACACATGATACCATCCATAAAATCTTTTGGACTTAATTTACTGGTTATTATCAATTGGAGGACATTAAAAAAACAAAAAACTGAAGGAAAAAGGACACAAGTTTCATTTGTATCAATAAAGGACTACCTTTATCAATCAATAAATACTTTTCTATCAATAAACAAACACTTGTATCAATTCTTTTCCTTCTCGTGTTGATTTGCTGAGATTTTGCACTCGAAAAATGTATACAATTATGATGAAGTTGACCACTCTTTGCTTGTGATTGAGAGGCTTTGTCCTACATTTGCATCTGAAGTGACATTTTCAAGAAGTATGATGTGGGCAACTCGTCGGTGAATCTCCATCTCCACATTGATTATCTTCATAAATATATTTGAGACTTGGCCTTCGCAGTATATGGGCAAACCTATCAAGATCGGAAGTTGGGCGCCATAGACAAGGACTTGGATGAGATCATTGTGTAGCTTACGACTTTAGGAGATCGCCCAACTAATTGGAAAAGGGACTGACATTATGGAAATGGAAGTGCAAACCGAGCCCAATGCATCCAAAAGTAAATATGCCAATAACGGGGCTGTTTCGATATGTTTGGTCATATGAATATCTGACAAATAAGATTTAAGACTTGATAAATATTGTAAAAAGTCTTTGAAGATAATTTAATTTGAAAGTGTTTCAATTACGAAAATAACGAAATGAAATTCCATTTGGCATAAGAAGCAATCATATTCTGATAAAGCAAAAAGCAATACAATGAAATTGCTTTGCACACGTTCTGTATATCAACTTTGTACTCACATCACATGTATATCAACTTCAAAGTCTCTCATAGCAACAGGAGATTGGCGGGTTCTTGGGGTCTCCCTAGAACCATTTTCAAAGTCATTTCCTATGAATCTATCCCCATTGGTGATTTGACGAGGACGAATTAATGATGCGTTTGGTTTCCTCCTTGATGGGTGAAGACTTTTTCTTTTTTATTGGTTGTATTTTCTTTGTTCACTTAATCCAGAGGGTGTCCTGCAGTAGGTTGAGTTCCTTTGGAAATAGTTTTGTTTACTCCTCTCATATCCTTATCTTCCTTGGTGAGATTAAGATAGGACCACAAGAGGATTTTTTTGGCCGTGAATCGGTTTACTTTCTTTTGATCCCTATCTCGGGGCATGTCCTGATATAGGCTGACCGTCTTTTATTAAGCCTATATATATTCTTTCCCCTCTTTTTTTTCTGCGTGTAGAATAATATATAGATATGTCCAATTGCATTTTATTCAAGCAAAAATAGATGTCATAAATGCATTTCAAAATAGTAACGGTATGCATAAAATAGATGGATTTATAGACGTAGCAATGATAGATCTCAACATCATAAATATATGCCAATGAATATTCCTAGTGTCATCTCGATCTCATGTATGAACATGATCACATCTAAATCAAATTGATGCCCTATCTAATGCATAGACACAACATAGATAATATCAAACATCATATAAATATCCCTTTTCAAAGCTGGTAGGAACCCCATTATGGGATGATTTAAGAGATATCCAAAAAGAATACGATAAGTAGAATTAGACATTTAGAATATCTTATAATTATGATATCTTTTAAAATATAAATTATAATTACTCTATTATGCAATTAGAATAAGAATTAAAGTCCTTTTGATAATCATTTAAAGTCAAGTGTAAGGTTATATAATAGTCTCAATTTAGATTGTGGTTATCAATGAAGAATTTTATTAATTAATCTCTCTGTCTTTTGTTCTTAGAGGTCTTTGTTCCTCATATAAACAAATCTTATCACAAATCCTATCATTGGAAATTCGATCCCCTAACCCCTTAGGTTTTTTAATGGAAAAATGAAATAAATTTATTAAAGCATTTAATAAATAGGAGAGGTAATTTTACTAAAATGCCCTCCAAGTTTTTTTTTTATGTAGAATTGAGTGAATCAAAGTGGTTTAATGCAACTAAAACCTCTAAGAGCAATAGTTTGGGAGACTCTATTTATGCCCAAGAAATACTTGAAATCGAAAATTCCGAAGAACGTAAAATCTTCGTAAAAGCAAAAATCTTGTAAAATTTGTAGAAAATAGAATATGCACGATAAAAATGTGAAATTTGAGCCTGTGGATATGTAGTATTTTAATATATGAGAAAAATAAGAAACCTGGAAAAAAAAACAAGTTCTTGAGGGTGTAGTGTGCATTTTGGTTAGGAAATTTTGGTCTCCGGGGAGTAAAACCTTCATTTTGCTGCCTAGATCAATAAAGGTTACTGTGTTAGGACTAATATGTTTTTTGGAATTTGAAAAGTACTTTTTGCTTGGGTTTTTTTTTTATAAATTGACTGTCACATCTATTAATCGAAGATGTCCAATTAGGCATCCCCAAGTAGGACTAATTCAAAGGAACACCCTGGGCTAATAGGCCTCTTTGAATGCTCTAATACCGCCACACAGCAACCCACAAAGATTGCCCCATTGAAGTGGTTTGGGTCTATCGACCTTCGGAAAGAAGGAAAAATACTTACTGTTGTTTACCTTAGTGTTTTGTTGTAGGTCATTTAGTTGTGAAGCATGCCAAAATGTGTTGGAATTGATTTGGAGCCTTTTGTTGTGCAAAAGGATATGTCGGGATCTTTAGACTAGATTTGACTTGAAATAAAAGAATGTCATCCTATGCGAGCTTTGCAGTATGTGTGTCATCATCTAATGGGCTTCGAGGTTGCCATGGGCTTATGTTTGGACAATGCAATCGGATTTAGTCGAGACACCAAGAAGCAGCTATTTGGGCTGAATTGGAGTCTTGGAGCTTGATTTATGGCTTTGTACCCTTTAGTCTTCTTGACAAAAGTGGACATCAACAATGGTTTGAAACAAGTGTAGAGGTGTTGGTACAAGTAGTTTGATTCTTACATTGTGAGCTTAGGAAGTTGAAGATGTGATGTTGATCATTATGCCTACTTCAATAATTATGGTGACAGTGATTCCATTAGATTATCCTTGTATGAATATACACCTAGTTAGGATTCATATTCCCTAAGCCTTTGGGTTTCTCTAAGTCTTTGGACTAAAACACAATCTATAGTCTTTTGTTAAGTACTTAATTAAAAGGTTGCGTGTAATTCCTAAATAAAAAAGAGTAAGAGATTCCTAACATTGTATTTATCTCTTGTTCAAGTGAAAAGAATAATTATGTGTTGCGAGCTCGTGCACATAGACATATCATGTGTCTTTTATTTTCTTGTCTATTTATTCTTTATTGACTGTTCTAATTAAAGCTATTAGTTGTGTGTTTGACCAAGTATTCTACAACCATAATATGTTTTAAGAATTTCATAATTTTTTAGAATTTTGTTCTCTTTTATTATATTTTTCTTGTTCCAAATTAACCTTTTAATTTCTAAATTATATGTTAGGAATCTTTAATCTTCAAGATCTTTCTCTTTATTTGATTTACTCTCTCCTTACCTATAAAATTATCTTGATTTTAAGAAAAACAAGAAATATATTACTCTGATTTTAAATCTTATTAAAAAGAACCATAAGAGGTATATATAATTTAAGCTTTATAATGTATTATTTATTCTGATTTTAATGTCATCTTACATCTTCTCTACATATGATTTTTAAATTTAATATTAACATATGTTTAGAGTTCAATAACTAAATATATCATTTCAAGATTTGGTCCCGTTTATAAAAACCCGAGCTTCGCCATTTTGATGTATTTCAAAGAGATATAAATCATTGATTTCTATATGTTTCAAAAGGAATGTTAAAACATAAGCGACAAATCAATTAATTAATGATTGAAATAATAAGAATGTGAAAGAGCCATGAAGGAAATTGAAGGTTGATAAATATCATATTAACCGACGTTCTTGCCCTCAAAAGTTCGAGAAAATGTCCAAGTTTTGGGGAAAACATGGGGTAAAATAACAACCTTTCCATCACTTAATCCAACTTTGAAGGTGAGAGCCTCCCCACATAGCTTGGCATCAGTCTGCCACTTTTGACCCCAATTTCGTTTCAGTTTGGTCCATGGCAACTTGTTATCACCCTTCACCTCCAAGCTTGAGATATCTCCAGCTCCACCAACATTCCATACTGATACCATATGGTAGTAAGAATTCCCAGTTATTAGAAATCGAATACCTCCTTGCTTCTTGCATGGAACCCTACGATATTTAACTGGGACAATACCAGCCTTATACTCAGCAATTTGAGAGAATGCAGGATAAGCTATATCAAAATGTTCACGTGGTGGGTTGCACCATCCTCCATTGTTGCTATCTTGTTGGAAATTTGGAGGGCAAAGGTTTGTTCCAGTGACTAAAAGGGAAGGCTTTCCGGGCTTGCACCATTGAGGGCTATCACAACATTTGATTTCAAAACAAGCACCACAACTTGCCCCATTATTAAACAAAACTGTGCTCAATGCTGCTGTGCCAATGCCGAAGCCTTCTTTATTAACATCTTCATAACCACAAGCCCCACCTGTATTCAACAAGATGAAATTTAGTAATATCTTATTTTTCAAATAAAAATTAGCTATAAAACTCAAATCAAGAGCATAATATCTTAATTTTTTTTTTATTTTACATGCTCTTGGTAAGATTTTAAAAAGGTATTTTATGTTGAGGAATGACAATGAGAAGTGCCTCTAGAGTTTAACATATAGCCCAACAAGGTATGCAAATATAATTGGATCGTGCTAATAAACGTTCATACCGAAAGTGTTAGCGTTGCCTTCGTAAAAGGTGGCATGAGCTTTCTTCCAGCCACCAGTAGGAGTTCGGGGAGACTCATTGTAAGTTTTTGGTTGTGTTCGCCGATGTCTATGTCTTCCACCATTTCTATGTCTGCCACCATGTCCATGTCTGTTACCACCCTTTCTCCATTTCCAATTGCGTTTATGGTTCTTTTTCCATGGCTGTTGATGTTTTTTGTTTTTCCCTCGGTGTTGATCTGTAGCATCACTAACATAATCAGGCAATACAAGAGCTAAAATCAACAATGTTGCTAATAAGACTTTCAAAATAGGCGATGCCATGATGATTCTCTGAACCAAAAGGTTAGTCAAAATTAACCTTTTGGTTCTTTAATTTGTCTCTACTTTATTTTTATTTTTTTATTTGATTATTTTGAGGTGTCCCTCGCATACATATATATACTGTTAACTTCTATATTTTCCTCTGCCTATTTTTAGCTATCAACATTTTTAGGATCTCAACAATTTTGGTTTTTGAAACAGGAACGCTTTTTTCTCTTCGCCTCCCCCAAAATAGATCAGAAATGGCGGGACACTAATTTGTGCAATTGAATTTTAAAAAAAAAAAAAAAAAATTGCGAAAAAAAGAAAAATGAGCCTTCTAGAACTATTTATATTAACCTACAGCTAATCATATCATTACTTTTGGACCAATATATATATATGATTAAATTAATAATAATATATAATTTATCATAAAAATATGTTAAAAATTAAAGTATGTCAATTTCGGTTACTATATTTGTAAATGATGAAATCAAATTACTATGTTACATAGATGTTGTGTATGGTTTTTCCGCCAAGCTCGGACCAACGTGAGGATATAGCTCGGCCCAGAATGATCTCGGCAACTATGATTGATCTACCCAGCATAAGTTCATCGAGCCGTAGCTCGACCCAACACAAGCTAATCGCGGACAATCCCAGGAATCAATCAATCAATCTCCATATTACTTTAGATCCTGGATATCGCGAGAATGATTGGATCAACAGTTATTGTTACGCGATCATACCGTTAAATCGCAAGGATATCGGAATTGTGATTCAAATCATTTGTAATCCCCTTAATTTCGCTCTTTCCTTTATGTAAATCTTGTATAAACCCCCTAAAATAATGAGGACGGGGATACAAATTCTAGATAAAAACTACATTGTAAGCTCTCACAGCATATACAAAAAACACAGTGGACGTAGGCAGTTTAACTTCGTCGAACCACTTTAAAAGTTCTCTTTGTCATTTACTTTCTGGCATTATCATTCACTCATCGCTGATTACCCGTAATCACGCACACATCAGTTCCGATCCTGACAAAATTGATCAGATTTCGTTGGTTGGTGCAGAATTATGTATCAACATTTTAGCGCTAGAAGGAGGGCCTCCGCCGTTATTTCAAAGATCTCGGCAAACGTTCATCGTGATTTACCTATCCCAAGACTAAAATGGTGTTCACCAAATCAAGAACTACCATCGGAAATCACAAGAACATGGAAACCGCCCACTGGGAGGTGCAACAAGAGAACGTTAGACGCCGACCACTGGTGCCGCCGGCTCAGCACGCCGTAAACAATCAGGGGGCAAGGACATCAAATCCTAAGAACGGCCAGCTAATGGAGAAGATCAGAACAATGGTTGCATAGGCGGTGCAACATAACATGGTTGAGCTAAGGAACCAACAACCAGTCGCCTAGAACCCTGACCAACCGCGCTTCACCAACGTTACCCCAACAGGTATGAATTCTATAGGTCGATAGTCCATTTCGTCGTCGCCAGGGGGCGATCAACACCGCCAACCTCGCACGCAGCCCCTTACGCAAGAGTGAGTCCTGTGGGCAAACAAACCCTGGGAGGCGGTCGGGGAAGCAGTTATTAAGGGAAAGCGAAGGCGACAGACACCACCGAGAAGCTCGATGGTATCCCCAGCATCAGCGTGCCAGTTTTAACCCATGCCCAAGACAAGATTGATCTTCGCGAGCCTTGTGAGTCGATCTGCCAATGACCAATGTTCCGATTATGACTGACGTCGTGAGCAACGCACTGACGAGCATGATAGCACCTACTAACCCAGCCATCATGACTCGACCTCACGTATCAACACGCGCATCGGAGGACCTTCGCAAGCGACAGACTTGTGGACCCACTTGCTTGAGGTACAACTTAACAGAGCCAACCAGGGGAACCAAAATGAAGACTTGGATCGCATGCAAAGGATGCTCGACAATCTAAAAGCTCGCTAGAACAACCTGGCAGTAGAGGTGGAAAAGCAACCCGCCTGCCTCGCCCCGCCCCGCCCCGCCCCGCCCTGCCCCGCCTCGCCCTAACCCAACCCGGCCCGACTCGCGGCGGGTTGCTGCAAATGGCGGGTCGGTCCTGACCCGCCCGGTGACATTGGTGGGCCGGGTTAGGCCCGCCAATATTAGAGAATTGGCTGGCCCAACCCGGACCGCCAACCCTAACCCGCCGAGTTGGGCCGGGTTAACCCGCTTTTTGATTTATTTTATTTTTAAATTTTGTTTTGTTTTATTTTATTTAAGTTTAAATGTTTAATTAACAATTTATGAATGGAATTGTTTTTAGTTAATTGTTAATTTCTTTTCAAATATCAATAATTAAATTAAATTAAATTTTTTTTTTGTTAACATTCCAAATATTAATTCAAATTTAATACATTAAAATTGTAATATAAGAATAATTAAATTTATTCATTTATTAAAAAATAAAATAAGAAATTACAATAATTATTGCCTCGTTAAAAACCTCACCAAGAAAAATCCAATAGGACAAAAACTTGGTAAGGAAAAAGAGTGCAATAATTGATAATTTTTACAAGTTACAATTTACAAAACACTAATTTTGGGTTCACTAGGACCTCCTCATCCATATCATCTATATTACAAAATGAATGATTCTATAAAGTATCGTCGACAACCTCGTATTGACATTGATGGCGCGACCGTTCCTAATCTCAAAGACATGTGAGGACTTCAATCATAGTGGTGAAAGTTTAGTCCTCCTTTCATTTAAAATTCTTCCTTTGCACTAAAGTTTGTTCGGATGAGACGGTTGAGACGGAACAACAAAAACATCCAGGCAAGTCTTGATAATACCGGAAAAATACATTTTCTGGCTTTCCAATAGTCTGAGAGATCAATGTTGGCTCTCTGTTGTGGATCTACTGGTACATTTCAGGGGTTACCAAATATTGTTAAGCTCATTACTCTCGACTGCATGGAAGACAGTACATTAGTTGTTGTTGTTGTTGGTGGAGCTTCTGAGGAGGAGGTTATGCTTCGGATTCGGGTCCTCTTCGGCCTATTTAGTGCACCCCAAGAGTAGAAGTCTTCATTTGTTTCTTCTGATGCAGCTTCCCTGGATGTTTGCCCTCTTTCGGGTTCCCATACCTGTTTTCATACTGGAATATACTTCGAAAAGTGTATTTTTTACCTCTCCTATTTGATTGGCATATGCTTCGGTTGTAAATTTTCACATAAATTGTCAAAACCATTTTCTAAACCTGCTAATTTAATTATAGGATCAAATATAGCACCTAAACAATAAAAAGGAACGGGTTCCCACATTTTAAAAAAAAAATTTCCATTGCCTTTATTGGTGCATTTAAAATTACATTGTTTTTTATAAATAACTCGGAATTTTTATAATTGTATGTATTCCAATGGACTAATAGGATAACACACCAGAAAGTTGTAAGTGGATTGGTAAAAGTTTTAAGAAAAGAATGAAATACTTTAGCTATTTGCCAATCATTTTCTACATAATGAGGACCTCTATTATTTGCTACAAAATAACTAATTATATTAGCATAAGGTAAACATGAATCAAGCATTAAATAAGTACTATTCCATCTAACATGCATGTCTATGCAAAGTTCTAGAGACAATTTGATTTTATACAGCGTCTTGAAATTCAGCATTTCTTTTATTACTACCAGTAATCCAAGCTAAACAATCTCTAATTCTATTAATATTTTTCTTAATTGTTTTCATACCACTTTTCACAATTAAATTAATACACGGCATGCACAACGTTGGTGAAAAAACTTCAAATTGTTATATTAGATAATTACTTTGAAAATAATCTTTAGCCTTACTATTAGAACTTGCATTATCTAAAGTTAAACTTATCACTTTACTAACAACATCATAATCTTCTAAAACTTCACAATTTTATTATAAATTTTTCCCCACTATGATCAACATCCATTATCTAAATCCCAATAAAGATTTATTTAATTTACATTCATTATCAAAATAATGACTAGTCACACAAAATAATCTTGTTTAACTCTACCACTCCAAATATCGGCAGTTAGAGCCACACTAACAGACAAGTATGTATTTTATTTTTAATTCTAATTTCATTTTTTAAACAATTTATTAAATCATTTCTAGTTGCAGTTTTAGAATAACTTTTAAATCCTGGAAAAAATGAATTTTGAACAAATCTTTCAAAATATTATCTTCAGCCATATTAATAGGTTGATCAGTTGCAGCAATATAAGCTAACTGTTTCCTATATACATCAGAACTATAACGCCAATTAGTACCCTATTATTATTTGAGTTTGATTGCTTTCTCTTTTCCATGTTGATTAATATGTTTATTAGCATGTCTTTTTAAAGTACTAGTACCATTACCTGAATCAGCTTTATAAATATTTCCACAGATTTGCATCTCGCTTTCTTGACTTGAACGCCATTTTCTGTCTCTAAAAACTTGTCGAAATGCCCCAAACGTCTGATGTGTGTCTGTCTTCGCTTCCGATGACAGTTGATGATCCCGCCTCAGCTTGAGATGAAGTTGGACGAGCACGACGATTACGAGGATGGTGTGCTGTCGTAGGCAACCAAGATTAAAAACCTTCCTAACCTACTACTGAACTGTAAATAGGGTAAGCAGGTCGATCCCACGAAGAGTGTCTAGCCGAATTTTCGATGATTGTAAGGCGGGGGGGTTTTGAGTAAAACAAAAAACAATCTTAGCAAAACAAAACAAAAACAATTCGAATCGAAATCATTATATAACGAACTTGGTCTCTGTCAACATCCACCACGGAATCTTACAACTGATCATTGATGCAAAAATAGATCAATTCTTGCTTTGAATATTCACCGTTGGAACTATTTTCCTATCTCTCCTTAATTGTAATTAATTAGGAAAACAAGCGATCTTAATTAATCTTACCATTAAACACCCTATACAAGCGCTAAAGATTTAATCTAATGGCGCCTTAAGAATTAGAGAAATCGATGAAGCTAAACAATACA